CCCCGCCGGGAGCTCTGCTAATGTGGCGGCGGCACAAGCTGGAACCGGGCTCTACACCGGAGGCTGCACTTCACCGTGTTGACCTGTGGTGGTGCTAATGTCATTTTTATTAAAAAAAAGAAATTAATCAAAAAATGAGAATATAAATATATTTTCATATTTTAATTATATGAAGTATATATTTTTTTACTAATATTATATATAATACTAATACTAATAGTTACTACTACTATATATACAATAAAAAGTCCATTCTGTTGAATGAGAACATTTTATCCTCAGAAATTAGGGTAATGTTGCCCTCTGGTGGTAGATGTTTTACATTACACTTACACGCCTTTTATGTAGCAAAACAATTGTGTACCTGTGTATACCTTTGCGTACTTGTGTGTACTTTTACGCACCTGTGTGTACGTGTCCGTTTGCGTACCTGTGTGTACTTTTGCGCACCTGTGTGTACTTCTGTGTACCTGTGTGTCCCTTTGTGTACGTGTGTACTTCTGCGTACCTGTGTGTCCCTTTGTACCTGTGTCCCGTTGTGTACCTGTGTGTACTTCTGTGTAAATGTGTCCATTTGCATACCTGTGTGTACGTGTCCATTTGCGTACCTCTGTGTACTTTTGCGTACCTGTGCAAACCTCTGCGTACACAAGTTTTTTAGAAATACTTTTTAATTCGAACTAAGACAAGATGCCATCACCTGTGAGGTCAAAGGTCAAACAACATAATTTTCCTCTAGTTGGCTAAAAAAAATGTTTTTTTCATCATTAAATGTTTAATTGACATGAAAAATATTTTTTCAACATATATCATCCTCTAAAATGACTCAAAATGTAAAAAAAGAAATTTTAAGGGACTTGACATTTTACCAGTAGTTGACCAAATAACACCAAGAGACATTTTTTCAATTTTTTCAATGGAGTATGAGTTTTTTTTATCATCGTCATAATTCATCGCATTCAGACCCTGGAGCCAATCCCAGCATTCATCAGGAAAAAGGCAGGATACACCAAATAACCAAATTAAAAAAATTTTAAAAATTGAAAAAAAAATTTTTTTAACGCCAACGTAACCATCGTTTTCTGGTCATGATCTAAACTTTAAGAGCACTGGTTGGATTTTTTTACTTTTTTTTTTTAATTTTTCAAATTAAATTCATACAGTATGCATCACTTAATAAGTGTCGCTCAAAGCAGTCGTCTCAAAGTAAAAAAAAATAGTACGAGTCCTACGCGAACTAAGAAGCTGGGCTCGTGAAACGCTAAGGGGGGGGCGCTCTCAGTACTCGTCCAGATTGTCGGCCTTGGGGACGGAGAGGCCTCTGTCTTTTAGGACCTGCATCTTTACTTTCTCTGTCTCCTGTTTGGCTTGTTGCTGCAACCGTTGCTCCTCCAGGATTTCTTCTATGGACACTTGCTGCAGGACGGTGTCGCAGGGTTTGTCCACATCCTGCATCACAAACCAGAAATATTTTTGAAAAAAAAAAAAAAAAAAAGAAGTCACGAAGGTCAAAGGTCAGGTGAGTGACCTCACAGTTTCACTAACACACACAAAAAAAATCTTGTAGCCTAGCGGTTAAAAGACTCAGCTTTGGTAAGGCATTGTTTCCCAAAGACTGGGTCGCAAATCATGTTACCCTGGAGTTTACGAATAACTTCTAATTGACGTGGGTCGCAAAGGTTTGTGACTTTTAAAATACGGGTCCCCCAGAAAAAAACACCAGTGTCGAGCATTGTTTCTCAAAGACTGGGTCACGACCCTCAGATGAGTTTTTTTTTGGGGGGGTCATCATTTACGAATAATGTCAATTGACTTGCTTTTTTTTTTTTTTTACTGAAAATATAAGACATTTCTACCTTAATAAATATTTGCTTAGGTTTTATGATATTCTGTAAATTCTGTTTGTAAGTCAGATGTATTATTATTATTGTTATTAATATTAAATTAAAATGAAATTCGGTAAATGTGCTCAAAAACAAACGTACTTAAATAATGAAACCCTCCCAAAAAATAAAATAGCTTTAAATGGGCTAAAATCGGTCTCAAATCAAAAATAAACTCACGATTTCTCCGAGCAGGACGACATTTTCTCCTCTCACGATGAAGATTCCTCTGGGAATGTCGCCGAACTTCTTCCCCACGTGGATCCGCTCCACTGTCTGATGGAAAACTAAGTTCGCTGTTGGTGAGAAGAAATAAATATTAGTTTAACGCATGTACGACGTGAACCTAGCTACCCCTTTTTTCTTTAAAAGTAAATATCGGAGGAATTACCGAACTGGTCGATGCTCCTGAGGTAGCCGATAAGTGTCCTTCCATCCCGGAGCAGTACCAGGTGCTTCTCTGCGGGATTGAACCGTATTTATCGAATCAGTTCGTGTCACATTTTAAAGGCAATAATGACTATTATCCGGCTCCGCTGTTACTTACTGTCGATGTCGTCTATCAAACTCGCCGTCCCCGGTACGTAGTTCATCTTGTGCTGCTCCTTCGCTGGTAATTCCGTCTGAAAATATGTTCGCCCTCTTAAGTCATGAATGTTTTTCAAAAAATGATGTTTTTTCTGTGGAGAAGTGTAGCAACGGAAGTGTTCTTATGTCAAGGCAGCGTAAACTTCCGGTTCACCGTTAACCGCCCCCGTAGGCCTTTAAATAAAAGTCTTTTACTAATGATTTAAAAAAATACGTTTATAATTTAGATGATAATAAAACGTTTTTAAACGATAACTGAAATTTAAATATACATATTTTAAGCATTATTGTTTTTAACTGCATTACCGACATTGTTGATGACGTAATTAGAGATCCTTTATGAACAGCAGCGAGTGGAGGACTCCTGTTATTATTTCCCGCCTTGTGGTCAACGACTCGTTGAGCCTTGAAAAGAAATCAGAGTGAGAGCTCGGCCATTTTGACGGATCTCTTAAAGCGACAGGAACGCATTTCCTAAACCCAGCGTCATTCAATCACTTCCTGATTCGAAAGCAAGCCAGCCGTACTTAAGTAAGAAAACGGAGAGAGATTTAGGGATTACTGCCGTTCAGACTAACCGGTGACTACGACACGCGGAGACGGTCTCGGTAAAGGGTTGTTTCGTTTGTTTGTTTGGCTATGGCAGGTGATTGGACAGCCGTCCGGAGCCGCGCTTAGCCGATGCACCAACATCGGTCAGAGCTGAAGTCTGGCTGGCCCTCTACTTGTGACTCGGGGAATAGTAACTGCATTAACACGATGGTGAGTACGTACGTAAAGAACAGGTTTAGACGTTTTTCATATTGAAATTAACCATTTAAATTTTTTTTAACAAACTGGTATTTTGACAAAAGCTTACTTTACCGCGGATATGTGTTCGTATTAGCCGAACGGCTAACGGAGCTAGCGTTATGTAATGAGTACCTTGACCCTTAAGCTTTAGTTCTGTCACGTTTTATCGTGACGTGACCACAGCGATAATAACGTGTGTTTAATAGACACAGGTGACACATTTACCAGCGGCCCCGTCCCCCTGGCGGTCACCTGCGTTGAAACAGTGTGAGCAGGCAATGAATGAACGAATGGACGAACGGACGCTTACGTCTGTTTACTCTGTTTCGTTAACCACGTGGTTAAGTTATGTTAACACGCTAGACAAACGGGAGCAAAATGCAAAACCCACCGTTGGTTTTTTTTTTTTTTTAAATATCGTGATATCGATTTGTGTTCCATACGATATTGTGTTACGGTGTTGACAAAAACATCGCGTAACAGGTTTTTTTGTCCTCCAAAAAATTGCCAAATTGCAGTTGAGTCTCTAAAAAATAAAATTAAAGTAATTTTGATACAAAAATTTTAAAAAATGATAAATAATCTATATTTGCGAACCCATGTTAGTTTCGTAAATTAAAACCCTTAGTTGACATGCGGTTAAAAGTTTCTGCTATTTATGAAAAAAAAACTCCGGAACGGGTTTGTAAATTTTTTTATTTTTTTAATTTTTTTTTGTCACCAAATAAAATTACGATCGTGACGTCGGCTGTTGCCGGCGTCCGATCCTGACTACGATTCTCTGTAAATTGTGTCTTTCTGTGTTCACAGGATGCTTCCCAGTATCCAGGCTACCCGTCGCACTACTGGTATCCTCAGTCCCACTCTAGTGGCCACTACACCAACACCTACCCGGGCGGATCGGAGGTGCCGTCACCGTACAACCCACAGGTGCGGCCCATACCAGGCTAAGTCCCTAAAGCTGAGCTGTTTAAGGCGTGTCCACGAGACCGCGTTTATGACGTTGGAGCCAAACCCTACATAGGCTGAATTTCTACCCGTGTTCTTCCCTTTCTCCCGCAGGTGATGCCTGGAGGCTACCCCAACGACCACGGGGTCTACAACCCGACTCAGGCTCAGTATTCAACCAGTGGTTTCCATCCGTCCAACCCGTTCTACGTTGCCGATCCTCAGAGAGCAGCGCCGGCTCCTTACGCCAACCAAGGCTGCACCGCCGAGCAGGGAACCGGAGCCTCTGGGCAGCAACACTCTCAGCATCATCACCCGCACTACCCTGGTCCACACTGTCAGGGCGTGAGTACCGTGTGTGTGGCCCATCTGGGCTAGACCAGTGTTTCCCAAACTTTTTTTTTCTGGGGGTGGGAGAGTCACAAAACTCCTGGGAAACATGATGCGAGACGACCCCCGAAAAACACCCCCACTGTTATTTCATATTTAACACCCACGTGTCTTCCTCAGGCGTCGGGATACCCCCCTGGACCCTACCCTCACTACACTGAAGGCGGCCACTCGATGCCCCCAAACCCACCGTACACC